CCATGGGTTGTGTGTGTGTGTGTTTAGTGAGATTGGTGAGAGATTAGAGGAGTGTTAATAAGTGTTTATATAAAGAGTTTTTAGGACACAAAAAGAAAAGAAGTTACGGAAGAAAGTTAGGCGTGTAAGAAGATAGACATTGGAACTTCCTACTTAAATTGAGGAGAGGCAGTTTTAGTGAGAGATCCATTCAAACAAGCAAGCCCTATTCTTCCGTTGTTAGTTGGGAATATTTTCAAGTTTTTTTTCTCAACTAAAACGAGAAATTTATTACATGGGCCATTTGTAATTAGGCTCACTAACACAGGCCTATCATAAGTCTTGCAAATATATCAATCAAGAGTTTCTGAGTGTTAGAAGTAATCAATCAGAGTTCTAAGTGTTGAAGTAACCAATCAGAGATAAGTTTTTAGGTCCGAAACTAGAGCATGTAATATTTATTAGTCATGCTTATTAACTTTACCTATACCTTAAGAGTCTTATTAGAAATATTTCTTTAAGAATTTGGACCAAATAAGATCTTTGAGACTTTATTTGCATTAAGGATCCACCTTTGTGAACAGACTCATATTCTACTGTATATTAAAAAAGGTATCTGTGTTCTATAGCAAGTCATTAGGCAAAAATCAATATAGGAATGGAGAAGGAATAGCTTGCTTGCTTCTTCTATCTATAAAATTAGCTGAAACACACACTGATGAAAAAAAAAAATTACAATGTCGAATTACTCTGTTTTTGCTTGGCAGTTTAGTCCAAAACATAAAGATTTCACTGTTCTTGTTTCAAAGTTATGTGTTGTCAACAAGCTTAAGTCCCCAGCTAATATCTTCACAATGTCTAACGTGTGGGACAACATTACCTGTATCAATTCCTTTCTTTGCTTTGCAATCGTAGTACGGAGGAGCATGGAAGCAAGGATCTGGTGATATAGCTCTACCACAAGGAGGATTTATGTTGGTTTGATTCTCTTGCTTATACAGAATCCAAGCTCTTAATCCTCCAAGTCCTTGTGCTACATAACCAAATGTAGACCAAGCACTAATAACCAACTTATCGGTTAAGCTCAGTAAGTACATCTCTGCCCAAGCTTTCCTGTTATGCATTAGCTTCTCTGTTTGTTGATGTCCTTCATGACTTGGTTGATGTATTCCAATCACTTCTCTTGTTACACTTGGATTTTCCCAATACATTGTTTTCAAGATCTCAAAGTATCCTGTTGTTAAAGAAGTGATCAAGACTGCTTTGAGTTTAAAGTCTTCTTCTTGGTCTTCTGGTGGCTTTTGTTGTTCCCCAAACTTGCTTAGTTTGGGTAACAAATCCTCGTTTTGAACGCAAGAAATGATTTGGTTTGTGACTTTAGGAGATACGCCGGATTTCTCATCGAATACTCTTATTTGAAGACCAATCCTCTCATCAGCTTTGGCTAAATAAGCTTGATAGTATCTTGTGATTAGTCCCCATACTTGATTTGAAGGATGGAAGAGATAACGTCCCAAATGGTGAAAAACTGTTCCTTTCTCGGGAAACATCATACCAAGCTCCTCTTCGAAAGAAGGGATCAAGAAGAGAGATGGTGCAAAGAAGTTGTTTGTCCTCATGATGAACCAAGGAACATTCTTGAAGAGATTCTGATCTTCTTCGCAGAAGAACATTTTATCGTGGTCATTGTAATCATGAGCTAGATGGAGATAAAGATGAGACAGAGACGAAACCGAAGATTCGTTAATCAGTTTCCTCTTCAGCATATCTCCATGGCAATGAGCTGAGTTTTGACCAAAGCCATTAAACTGATTACTTAAAGTGAAGTCTTTCGGTAACAACCAAGTGGTGTCGAGGAATGGTTCGCAGAATAAATCCGCGAATTGCTCTCCTCCTTCGACAAGCAAGACTCTATCCGTCAGCATTGCATATAGAAAAGCAGAAGCAATACTTATAATCCGGTTTCCTAATCCACTAAACTCCATCCAAACAACATACTTGCAACCTTCAGATTCCGAATAACCGGTTTGTTTCTGTTTAAGCAGTCTTTCTGCATTGGTATACAGTCTTGTTCCCGGTCCACATCGTTTATGAAGCTCTTCGTAAGCTCTAAGCTTCGAAAGTAGATGCAAAGAAGGTTTATACGGTGAAGCTTTACGGTAGAGGTAAGATTGGTATCTACTCAAGCAAGAATCTTTCTTGAAACCAGAAACAAGTAATCCTCCAAGCAGAGACAAATCTACAGAATCTGATGAAAAAACATTCAAGAAAGATTTCAAAACATAACCCTAACACAAAAATCAAACCTTTAGGAGAAGGATCTTTGTTTTACCATTTCGATTTTGATCTCTCTGTAATGTTGAATCATCTGATGAGGATGTATCATTTGGTTCAGGTTTGATTTGGATGATTCTTGATGCTTCTGCAAAGCCATTGTTGCCTTGATCATACGAGTCATGTCCAAAGATAACTACGACCACTAGCAAAACAGGGACAATGACCATGAAATAAGCTAAGATCTCTGTGATTCTCACTCCTCCAAACATTCTGTATCTCTTCTCTTGGACTCCAATTTGTTCTTCTGGTTGTTTCTCAATGGCTTTGGACATTGATAATCTCCTTCTCGAGGTATACGGATCCATTCAGAAAACCTAAAGATTCAAAAAGAAAAGGAAAGTAGAAATCAATTCTGTTCTCTCTCTTTTACATTCTTCAAATATCATCAGATTTGGTAATAAAGACCAAACCTTTAATGGTCTTGTTTTATCTAATTTGAGAAAATGTAAAAAGCACAAAAATTGACTTTATAAAAGCTCTAATTTAAGAAGTGTTACATGAAATGATCAAAAACAGAGTAAAGAAGAAAAGAAAAAATCATACTAGCTTAAGTCCCCAGCTCATATCCTCACAATGTCTCACATGAGGAACTAGTTTTCCCGTGTCGATACCAGTTTTCGCTTTACAGTCATAGAAGGGAGGTGCGTGGAAACATGGCTCCATCGACATAGCCCGACCACAAGCAGGATCAGGAGATGTACGGTTCTCGGGTTTATAGAGTATCCAAGGCTTTAAACCACCAAGACCTTGAGCTACATATCCAAATGTAGACCAAGCACTTGTCACAAGATTATCTGTCATACTCAAAAGATACATTTCCGCAAGAGCTTTTCCGTTATGCATCTTTTTTTCCGTCTGCTGATAACCTTCTTGGCTTGGCTGGTGAACACCGATGATTTCACCAGTCGATGTCGGATATTCCCAATACATACTCTTTAAATTCTCCGAGTAGCCCGAGCTCAAAGATGTGACAAGCACAGCTTTGTGTTTCGGGGTTTTGACTCGGTTGGATGTTTCTACAAGTGTGTCTACTTCAGGGAGAAGTTTCTCTTTTTGTGTACAAGCTGAAATCTGATCCATCACATGCTGAAATGGACCTGCGCCTACATCGAAAACTCTGACTTGAATCCCGATCTTCTCATCCGCATGCGATAAGTAAGCTTCGTAGTACCTTGTGACTAAGCCCCATACTTGGTTTGTTGGGTGAAAAAGATATCTACCCAAGTGATGAAAGACGGTCTCTTTCTGCGGGAACAGCTTGTTTAGCTCTTCATCAAAACCCGGGATTAGCCATAGAGATGGAACAAAGTAATTGTCTGTTTTTACGATCAACCAAGGGACTTTCCTGATTAGAGTTTGGTCTCCTTCACAGAAGAACATCTTATCATGATCTCCATAGTCATGAACAAGATGAAGATAAAGATGAGACAGAGTTTTCTCGGTATCAATCGCCTGATTCTTCACCATATATCCATAACAACGAGAGGATTCTTGATTCAACCCATCAAACTGTTCCGTCATCGGGAAATCTAAAGGCAGTAACCAAGACATACCGAGAAACGGCTCGCAAAAGAGATCTTCAATGTCTTTCCCTCGGTCAACAAGCAAGACTCTATCAGTCAAAAGCGCATAGAGAAAAACCGAGGCTAAAGAAAGTATCCTGTTCCCTAACCCACTAAAAGAAACCCACACAACATATTTACATTCACCAGATCCATCGATATGCTCTTGATCAAGTTGCTTTAAAGCTTTCTTGTAAGATTCAGTACCCGGACCACAACGCTTATGCAGCATTTCGTAGTTTCTAAGCTTAGAGACGAGGTACGGAGAAGGCTTGTAAGGCGAAGGTTTACGGTAAACTACTGACTGGTACCTACTGAGGCAAGAATCTTCATCAAACCCAGTAGCAAGTAGTCCTCCGAGAAGCTTATCGGAATAATTTGAATCTACAAAACAAAAGAGCAGAAATATA